TTTTCCAGTAAGTGAAATAAGCAAAATTAAATCCCAGTGAATAATTAACCTTATTACAGTAATAAATTATGCATGTCAATGTTTATAATAAGTTGTGCTCTGAAAAAGCATACACCCAACCAAAATGGCTGTCAGTTGGCCATTTTGAGTCCAATCTGAAAACAAACATGATGTGTATAATCAATACAATTCTAAATTTTAACAAAATCTGTCCATACACAACTGAGATCTGTTTTTGAATGGCAAAAATGCATGATTTTGGTTAAATTTTAGAACAAAAATGGACGCCATTCAGCCATCTTGAATCACATCATGCAATTAATTTTACTGCATATGTATCACAATACGTATGAAGTGTGTGTAAGTTTGAACCTGATTGGTCCTGGTATGACCAAGATACAAGCGCCTTTGTACAGAAAAACAAATGGACTCACAAATTGTCACACAAAGGTTAATCAATGAGTCCCCATTTTTTAATTGTGACAGATAAAATAATTAGACAAGCAGCCTCTAGACTGAGGTAGCTTCGCTGTTAGCAATGCAATTAGAGATTTGAAGATATTATCACAATATGAACAAATCTAAGAGAGGTCTACTCAAGGTACATATACAGTAAGTATCAAAGCAATCAGACTTATGGTTTTTTACATAAAGTTGAAAAAGTACAAGCAGCCTTTCGACTGAGATAGCTCCACTGTTAGCAATGCACATTTCAATAAAAAGAACTGAAGATATCATTAGAAAATAAACAATATGTATAGTATCAAAGCAATCAGACTTTGGAAAATATCACTTTTCCCAAAAAATGACAAAATTATTCAGCAAAATCAGAGAATTGAAGATATCATCATGAAATGAACAAATCTGAGAGAGGTCCACATGTAGTACATATATGGATAACATCAAAGCAATTGGACTTGCTGTTGAATATATCAACGTATATCATTTTTTAGCAAAAATTACAAAAATATTTACTAAAATTAGAGAATTGAAGATATCATTATGAAATGAACAAATCTAAGAGAGGTCTACCCAAGGTACATATACACCAAGTATCAAAGCATTCAGGCTTGTAGTTTTCAAGAAGAAGTCGAAAAAGTAAAAAGTTGACATGGACGACGACGGACAATCACTCATATGATAAGCTCCGCTCGACAAAGTCAACAGCGGAGCTAAAAAAGGAATTTGAAAATACTACTTTACCTTCATCTGTTCACCTGCTGCCAAGTTACGCATAGTTCCCGCTGCATGACATTTGGCTTCCGGTAAACTGTCAGCATCAAGTAATATTCGACATATCTCTGGCATAAAACCTTCTCTCACAATCGTAACCTAGCAACAGTAAGCACAATAACATTAAAGAAATTTATTGGTTATAACACATTATAGAAGACGTATAGTGAAGATTATAAAATTATGACTGATTTTAAACTTCACCTCAATTAAAGAATGACCCTGTGCAAATTTCTCAAATCATTACCCTAGAACCTGGAGATATCCCCTAACCTTTTACCATTCTACTAATTTTTCCTATGACACCTGATCTAGGTATAGTAATTATAGGAGTTATCTCAGACTATATAAATGGGATTCCTGACTGCACCTTACCTGGTTTCTTTCATGCATACCTGTAATACTCAATGGTTGACCCCCCTAATCTAGCATGGGTATTATCCCTAACCTCACAAAGGTTTCTTCTTGTAACCTTTCTACCATACCCAATGTCTCCTATGTTGACCCCAACCTTACATAGGTTTTATCATACATCCCTGATCATACACAATGTCTCCTATGTTGACACCCTGACCTTACATACCGGTAGGTTTAATCCCACAACATCCTCATCATACTCAGTGTCTCCTATGTTGACCCCCAACCTTACATAGGTTTTATCATATATCCCTGATCATACACAATGTCTCCTATGTTGACCCACCTAACCTCACCATACACAATGTCTCCTATGTTGACCCACCTAACCTCACATAGATTTTTCCCCACCATACCCAATGTCTCCTATGTTGACACCCTGACCTTACATAGGTTTAATCCCACAACATCCCCATCATACTCAGTGTCTCCTATGTTGACACCCTGACCTTACATAGGTTTAATCCCACAACATCCCCATCATACTCAGTGTCTCCTATGTTGAACCCCTGACCTTACATAAGTTTAATCCCACAACATCCCCATCATACTCAGTGTCTCCTATGTTGACACCCTGACCTCCCACAGGGCTTATCCCATATCCCCCACCATACCTTATGTCTCCTATGTTGATGCCCTGACCTTACATAGGTTTTATCCCACCACCACTTTACTATATCCAATGTCTCCAGTTGATCCTAGCTTAAGTCTTATGAATTTGGACTTGTATTTATCTAAGTTACTTGATCCACAATTAAATGCAATCTCTAATATCCTAAAACAGGAGTGAACCCTGACCTTATTGCTTGAGATCTGACCCCCACCTTACCTCATTTTTTCTATGTATTGACAGATTCCTGAGCACAGCAACAGCAGCAGTCAATGTATCTTTGATACCACTATTTATAATATTATAAAGACTTGGCAAAACACCCAAAGTAACTATCAACACTTGATTGTCATCTAATAAACACAAAACAATGTACCAGTATATCATATTAGTATCACTCGAGTATAAGACAGGCAATGTTATTGGTCAAAAGTGGTCACATGATCATTTGATAAATATTGATGTCGGCTTCTCCCAGCATATTTCTTGTCTCTGACATCATTTTTTTGTGTTATTTGCCTCTGATTTCATAACAGATTGTTGTTTATGATAATTTCAAATGCGTTTCTCTACTGATGGCTAATTTTGACTAACTTGAAAAGTTGGCATTTTGGCTCTGTTTTACTTTGCTTACTTTTCTGTTGTTCTTTTTTAGGATAATAAAACAGTTATTGTTCTTGGCTGTGGCCGATATTAAAAATTAATGTCAATCCCTTACAATAACAACACAACCAACAATATCTTGATTGTGGTGTAAAAACATGAACTGATTATTTATGTTGGATTCAAGTTATCATGGTAACAATTTTTCACAGAGATGATACAGTATACATGTATAACACCTACCATCTGAGGCCATATTTCTCAAAGCAAGACAGGCTTGACATTTGACCTGAAATTGAAAAAAACAAAATATATACATACTGAGTTTAATACAGTGGACTTAAATGTCCAGCTTTATCCTAGAAAAAACTTTTGTAATAATTTTGTCCCCAACTTTTGTAAAACTTATTTTCATTAATATGAGATTACTTTTAGGTAATCTCTTTGATAATGTTTTGTAGTAATAAATTAATGAGAGATTATAGCGCCAAATGGCAACATGTAGAGTTATATTTGAGCTTAGTGACCATTATATCTCTATTTTAAACACTATAGTGCCTCTGTGTCCAATGTAAACAAAGAAACGCAACTTCAATAATCCAACTGTGTTGTATTTTACCCTATACACGTATACAGAAATTTATAATGTTCAAATGAGTGCAGATTTGATTAAAAATGAACAAACTCTATTTTTTTGAGGCGCTAGATGTATAATAATTTTTTTATTTATTGCAATTTATATATCAAATTTTTTTTTTTTTTTTAAATATATTTATGCCAGATGTAAATTCTCAACAATGATTGAATGTCAGTACAGGGTCATTAGATTTATGTATGATCACCATATATTCTACATACAAGTTCATCTAGGCTTGAAGAAAGCACATATTGATTCCCATTGTTTGCCTCAGCAATAATAGCTGGGTCAGAAATAAAAAAAATTTTTTTTTTTTTTCAGTGGAAAGTTACTTACTTTATCTGCTGGGTATGAGAGCAGTGAAATAAACGATCTTATGACATCATAATGTCCAACAGCTATCATCATACAACGATACCGATGATCAACGGCAATGTTACTTAACGCCGCTGTGCAGTAATAAAGTACGTCAGAGTCTTTGCTTCGAAGACAGTTAATGAATGTTGGTATTGCACCCTGGGATACCATCTCATTGCGACTACTTGCTGTGAAAAAAATGGATACAAACATTTTAATTGTCAAGACTGTTTTCAAAACATGATCACAACTCCATCACAGACAGCTTAACAAATTCTAGATAGTAAACTGTATTTATTTGTATATGTTTATTATTTGACAAATAAATAATAAGTATATAAATTATGAAGGATGCAGGTCATTTGGATCGAACTGTTTCTTTTGTTTCAAGTTTGTAGCAAGTCTAGAGACATAACAATGTTATTTTTTTGGTGAATATAGAACATGTTCTGTTCCAATAAAGAATTTTGATATGCCAATCGAAAAATCTTAACAATTCCTTACTGGAACGTCTCCTGTATGAATAGTCCTCAATTCTCCGAAATTTGACAATGCCAAGAATGGACTTTCTGTTCAGCGTGTCTTTGATTGTAGCTATGTTTACGCCACTGTATGAAAATATGCACACTCGCGAATTTGATAACATTTACTTGAGCTTTTTAAGGAGAGTGGGAGATGGAAACACTTGTGATGATTGATGATAGCTGTATTTTGTCTGATAAATCTAATCAGATGTATTTGATTGTGTGAACCAGTCGATAGATCCTAGTTGCAAGTTCTTCTATACAGGCTACTGGTATGATTGTTTGCATACACTACAACTCAATGAAGTACAGGCGCAATGAAAACTTACCTATATGTGTTAAATTCAACAAAGCACCAGTGGCATTTCTTTGAACCCTCACATCATGTGACTTGCATAAAATTAATAAAGGCTCTATTCCACCAGGCTACTGGTGTGATTGTTTGCATACACTACAACTCAATGAAGTACAGGCGCAATGAAAACTTACCTATATGTGTTAAATTCAACAAAGCACCAGTGGCATTTCTTTGAACCCTCACATCATGTGACTTGCATAAAATTAATAAAGGCTCTATTCCACCAGCATTCACAATAGCTTTCTTGTTTATATCTAGTGAAAAAATAAAATAGATAAAAACAACTTTGGTAGACTTCCTGACTAGAATCTGGTGCTATACAACCAATGTTCTATGGGTGTTCTGTGAATTTAAAGTGGAATATATTTTCTGTCAAAAAGGCTACAAAAGATATAGGTACTTTATTTGCATCAATAAATAGCACATGTGTTTACACAAGTCACAGAGGTATTTCCATGGTCAAAATATGTAATATTTTAATAATTTACTATACAGACAATGCAATTTTTTTATTGAAATACACTTCTATTGGAAATGAGTTTTTAATAAAGCAAACAATGTACCGGTACAGTAAATTTCTTAAATGCATTTGCTGTTATTTTTTTTGCTGATGGGGGACTAAATCTGATCATGACGATAAGAGCAACAATCATTTCAGTCACCATAGAAACATCTTAATGTTAAGGTTGAATGCTACTCTTTACATGTAGCAATATTTTTTGTCCAAATCTGTCTAGAATTATTAGTTTTAATATTAGTCAACAGTATGTGAACTTTTTTTAGTTCACTGTCAATCTGTTTTTGCGAAAAAAACAGTTAAATAGTATGCATACCATTTTAGCAGCAGTTTCAAAAGACCTTGATAAAAACCTGCTAAAATATTGCTAATTTATTAATACTTCTAGACATCAAAAATATTTTGTAAGACAATATATATAATGTATATATGTAACTAAGCAAAATTTTGATATACTGATATGTATCCATTCCATAGGAAACAATGAAATAATGCCATAAAACTCCAATTCACTACGTTCCATTACCCACCATAGACTCCGGTCAGTCAAAATGACTATTTTGAACTGTAGGCATTAATCAGCTATTCTGCCAATGACGGAGAGATAGAATCTAGGTAAGGAGAAGCCCCATGACCCCAAGATTCTTTTCCCTTACGTCACCAACCACGTGACCGAGGTCATATGGCGGTGCCAATACGGCTGGCTAATCACTCTGATTTCTTCTTCGCCTCGAATGGAGATGAAATCTAGCGACCTCTGCCTGGATCGCTTGCTTTTTTCCTGCCCGGGTTTCTAGCTTGGGTTGTTGCCGCTGGGTGACATGCGATATTGTAGCTGGTAGGATAAGTTTTTCTTGTCATTTTTACCCTCATGTCGTTTCTCCCCTTTGTGTGTAGCATTTTTCACAACAAAGAAATAAAACCTGGGCGTCGTAGCTTAATCACTTGTTGATTGCGTTACGTCACCTTCTACTACTGTAATTCGCTTCCCTCATGCATGTTGTCTTCATTTTATGCTTCACCTTTGTATTTAGAAATGAATATATGTTATGACAGCTCCATGACTCGCTGCCGTTTTTTTTGGGTCTCCTCGTTTTTGAGTAGACTGTGCAGTGGTTATATTCAGAATTTACCAGCATAGAACCTGCATTCGATATGCTTTTTGACGTGGCTGCGTGCGAGGTTCAAGGTCTTTGCCTTGAAGGCGTGCGTTTTCCACTGGAGTTCTGAGGCCTGAGATATTTTTTCAAAGCCATCAAAATCGCTGAGACTGACCGCGTTGCTCGTATTTTCACAGCAAGGTCGCGCGTCCAGTAAAGATCCGTTAAAGTCTAACGGTGCTTCACATACCGGGACGTCGAGTAAGAGGCCTGACAGTGGAGGTACCACTATTTTTCGTTCTCCCCTCGCTGACCGGAGGGCATCCTCATAGTCTGCGTTTTCAGGCGGTGGTTTACCCGATTTTACCGGCTACAACGAGGCTGTGCCCCTGGAGGTTTTTTCCTCCTATGGGGCCCGTCGCGGGTCCCTTTGTGGATCATTCGTCATATGACGCCGGATTTGCCTCCGAGTTGTGGGGCTTTGGTCAAAGGACTGTCGGGGCAACTGCGTCCTTGGCAGGCCGGGTAGATCAGATGCAGTCAGAGCGAGCTGTCTCGACTGTGGCCCCCCGGTGGGCAAGCAGGAAGAAACACGAAAGCATGTTTGCATTCAAACATGTCTCTTCCGGGGAACCCCCGCTCACAGCCGCGGCTCTCCCACTAATTTGGGTGAGGCCGAGGCTCAGGCTAATTGCATTGGGTCTCCTCTGGAGCCTCAGCCAACGGGGTGCTGGCAGCCAAGCCTCCGATCTCGGGGCAGGGCTTTCAGGGCAGGGCACACGTTGACCCCCCCTACTTTCAGCCAGCCAGGGTTCGTCGCGTGGTAATGGTACAACGGTAACGAATTTATCTTTGTGTCCGGTCTCCGCTGTGGGTTTTGACTCTCTTCTTACCGACCCACAGGCATCCCCAGAGGGAACCGATCCTGTCATGAGACGCACAGTCGAACACACTCTTTCTCACATATTTAAAGTGAAAGGAGACACAGTTCGCTCGCGTCAGATACAGCCGGTACCTCGGGCAATCCCTCAGAGTCGTCCATTCGTAACGACTCGGTGAGCCATGCTTTTGGGGTGATACGGAGTTTCATCGATCTTAGTGATACGATGTAAATACCCCCACCCCTGATCCTAAGGCGACCACTTTCAGTTGCTTCAACGCTTATGGGTGTCGGGATCCAAAGCAACCCCGTCGGCATATCTCTCCCTGTCCGTCCGAGTGCTGAGTGGGACATAGGGCGCGCAAACAGTGTTGATGGGCGGACGTTGGTCAGCCGCGAGGGAGGTAACGCTTGAGGCCCCCGGGTGGGGTGAAATCTTATGCAACACTTTCCGCTAGACCAAACGCTACCTAGTCGATGTGGTTTAGGGATCAGTCCCCAAAGTGTGGGATGAGACCAAAATACCTCCAACCGGATCCCAAGGCTCCTTCCCCAGACCCTGGTACCACGAATTTCCGTTAGGCAGACCGGGTAAAGGGGGACAGCAGCGTTCCATGGGCGTTCTCGCCAGCTCAATCTGAGACAATTCATCACGCCCTGAGGGCAGAGTTGCTTGAGCGCATTATTGTGCGCGCCCAGGACTACGAGACCTCGGTGGCAGAACGTTTACACATTTACTTGGTGGGCCACCGTCCTCATCTCAGTGACGCAGACAGGACATCTTCCACCCTCTTTGTTCGGGGAATGGTGGGTACAGTCTTGGAGCTTTGAAGTGCAATCAGATCAAATCCGCTAGCCAGTTGGCCCTGCAAAGGGTAAGCGGAGGGCACTCCAAGCACAGAAAACACAACACCCAAGGGCGTCGTCTGCTAGCCAGAGTCAGCCAGGAGGCAAGCGCTCATACCCTTCCACAGGAGGAAAGAGTAGTGGCGCGCACCCAGGGAGGAAAGAGCCAGGTGGTGGCTCCTCACCCTCCTTGGGTGGTTGTCTACCCCAGCAGCGGGGGAAGCGTGTTTTGACACCTCTGCAACCTGGGGGGGAGGCATGTGTTCGGTGAGTGGCCAGGTCACAACTTAGTGACTACTTCAGGCCTTGGGGATCTCACCTCATGGGAGAAGAGAGCACCCGCCCTAGCAACTGCCGAACCCATGGCCACATATCCCTGTCATACACAGATTTGGAGACAGCGGGTGACCGATCCCTGGACCTTTCCAGGTGGTGACATCCTGTTATGGGATACCGCTGAAATCTCCATCTCCCACGTCAGTGTCTCCTCTATTGGGCACTGCCAGGGGACTCCCGCAAGGTGGAAGCAATCAGGCAGGAAGTAGCAGTTTGCTGGAAAAAGGCGCCATACACAGGGTAGATCAGCCGGAACTAAGTCCAGGGTTCTACCCAACTGTGTACCAAATAGTAGCAGTACCAAATCTACAAGTGGCGGGCGTCCAGTTCTGGATTTAGGCAGACTGAATCAGTATGTGCTCCTCGATCGGTTCCACATGGAGACGCCATTCAGGGTTCTTCTCTCCATCCACCGTTTCGACTGGCTAGCCCCACTAGACTTAAAGCGGGGCCTACCTGCACATACTGATGCACCCAGCGAGTTGCCATCTCCTTTGAATCGCCCAGCTGGGTCAAGTATTCAAATTTCGGGTGTCCCCCTTCGGGGTATGCACATCACCATACATGTTTACCAGAGTGATGAAACAAGTAGTGCTGCTGCTTCACCAAATGTTGGTACACCTCAATCTGTACCGAGATGACTGGTTACTACACAACCCGGACAAGGGGTTAATAGCCAAACACGTCAGGCTAACACAGGATTTACTGTTAGGTTCATTAGTAATTGACAAGTCCCATCTCGACCCAACGTGCAGTTGGTGTCCCTGGGCATGGAGTTTTGACACAGGGGTAAGCTTGGTATAGCTATTTCATGCGTGTTGCTTAGTACTAAGCAGCCTAGCGGAACGCCTAGTCAGTGTTCCCTCAGTGTCCCTCCGAGAACTAATGCGGATCATCGGAATGATGACCTCAGTTCGAAGGGTCGTTCCCCAGGCCGCACTACGCAGCCGCCCGGTATAACACTTGTTATAACGCCGAGCTCTTCTATGGGAACTAGATAGGCCGGTTTGGATCTCGGACCAAGTGAAGGAAGCCCTGCCCTGGTGGTTGTCGCTGGCCAACCTTGGACAGGGGGCCCCCTTGGACCCACTCGCCGCAGGTATGACTCTGGTAACAGATGCCTCCTCTCAAGGTTAGGGAGCGCATCTTTTGAACGAACAAGCCCAAGGATATGGCCCCCGCATTAGTTTCGGAACTACCATATCAACCAGCTCGAACTGAAAGCAGTGTACTTAGCACTACCACGCTTTCTACCCGTAGTTCAAGACCACAGAGTCCTGCTCCGCACAGGCAACGCAGCGGTGGTCTCCTTCAAGAAGGAGGGGGGACGTGTTCCCCATCGTTGTCAGTTCTAGCGGAGCAAATCCTCATTTGGTGCCTGGAATACAATGTGGAGCTAACCACACACCAGCTTTCAGGGGTGAGGAACAGTCTGGCAGACGCCCTTTCAGAACGGCTCCATCTCCAGAACACAGAGTGGCTGATACCCCAGTGGGTAGCCTCCAGGCTGTTTCGGGTATGGGACGGTCCAAGGTTAGACCAGTTTGCCGCACCCCGGAGTGCCAAGCTCCCGATGTACATAACACTCCTGCTGACTCCAGGAGCCTGGGCCAGGGTCGCTTTGCTTACCCAGTGGACCCACTTAGTTGTGTACCTCCCTTCCCACTAGTTCACCGGGCACCGGAGAAAACTTTGACAGGTGCACACCTGCATATTATCATTGTTCGCACCCAATTGCCCCATCGTCCGCCTGCACGGTGTTGTTCCGTTCGGATATTCCTCCCTCTACAACACCGTGCGGTAATTCTATTCATAACCGTGTATGTCACATGGTTGTGCGATAGAAAGTTTACCAACCAATAGAAAGCTTTGTTACAATGACTGCCAGAAACGGCTGGAGCTTTGCATTTCTGATGTCTTCCGATATATCTTGCAGTGACATCATGAACTTTGAGGTGTAACACCTACTCTTCTATAGTACCCAACAGTGGTGACAACACTATTACCACGTTCGATGATCGCAAGGCCGGTAAAGCATAATAACATAAGGATTTACTATTTCCAGTGCGACTAAAAACGAACACAGACACGGCACTAAGTATAGTTTGAATAGCTTTAGTCTGAATATCAGTGAGTTGCATGATGTATGGATATCGTCGCTGTATTGCCTTGACATCCAAGCCAACACAGCTTCCACTGTGCACAGCGAAATTTATTCTCGGGTCAGACATTTTCACCGCCTGGCATGGTGAAAACAAAGTCCAATAAATTCTAAGAAAACGGTATTTTGGGATGGTCGTTGACACCCCTGAACAGTGTAACAAGATTACCCCTACATATGCAACATATTTAAATTTGGTTGTTTAGGATTTCTTCAAAGTTAAGGTTGTGCTGTTTTCTCAAATTTAACCGTTTTCACCGGCTTTTCGACCGGTACTTCACAGCAGCTCGCGCAGAGCCCATAGAAATACATGGTAGAGTGGAGCGCGTCTTAAATAGCAGCGTGGGGCGTCTCGTGAAGAATTTGATAGCTTGGCCAAGCGCGTTGAAGAAAGAAGCAATATGATTGGCTGTTGGTAAATTGATTCTAAACTGTGAGGGCATTGTCACATACACATATTCCTAATGAAATACTTCAAGGTGATAGCGGAGTGCTTCGCCGGAACATTCACCTTGAAAATTCAAGATGAATTGCCCAAGCAAGGCCTAGTTTGCACTTCTGTCGGAAACCAGACGGTGCACTACCAACGAGCCCAGCGGGTATCACTTACATGCATAGAGGCTCTCAGTAGACCTGCACATACGAAAGCTTTATCTGAGCGGGCTGCCAACGTCCTGGCCAGGGCGAACAGGGATTCCACCAACGCGGCCTACATTTCTAGGCTGCGAGCATACACTGATTGGTGTAGCTGAAGGGAGATTGATCCATACCATCCCTCTATTGGCCAGGTAGCAGGCTCCTTCATTGGTTTGTCCTATGCAGCAATCGTTGGCTACATGTCGGCCTTGTCCCCCACCATTGAGAACGTATGGGAACAAGACTAGCCGATTGTCCTATTATTAGGAGACTATTTACTGCTTTCCGGACGCCAAGACCCTACAAGGGAACCGCCCAACTGGGACTTGTTGGCGGTGTTGTCCGCTCTAAGCAGACCGCCCTTTGAGCCTCTCCGATCAGCACCACTCAAATTTTTGATGTCGAAAATAGTCTTCCTACTGGCCCTCGCCTCAGGTAGGCACCGGCCAGAGCCGGGGGCGTTGTCCTTCTCGGATGATGTACTGCCGTTATGGACAATCAAGTTGTGCTAAAGACACGAATCGGGTTTCTCGCCTAAAACCAAATCCCAGGTCACGATCCTCACCCGATCGTCATCCCCTGGCTGTCAAATTTTGTCGGCCCGGAGGGTCAGGAGGAATTGCTTCTCTGTCCTGTTCTAGCATGGAGTTGCTACCAAACCGTACTGAGGATTCTGGAGAACATAGAACGTCTTTATCAACTACCACCTAAGAGACACCGAATCCATTGAGGAGGGTCTCTTTAGGTTGGGTCCTGTCGTAGCGGGTCAGTCTTGGTTTGCTGACCCAGCCTGAACGACCACAAAGGTCCCTGCGCAATAAGTTAGTCTTGGCATTTTTTGCAGACAGATTTCTGTACCATCAGCACTCCCTGGAATCTCCCAGGGCTCGCTTTTCGGCCTATGCCCTCATGCAGAACTGTTTCGGCCTTCCCTTCGAAAGCTTACTACCTCCAGAATTGGGTTGGGGTCTAGCTTTCT